TCCAATTGTAGCTCCACCACCTATAGCTCCAGTTCCTCCACATAATCCAGTTCAACCTTCTGCCGCTACACCACTCTTGACTTATCATCGTCGTCCACATCCAGCATCAGGCCCAGGTGATTCACGCCATGCATCAGATTCTGCACCTACTGCGGACTTGTCTCCTCTTAGTCAACCAATTGCACTCTGCAAAGGTGTACGATCCACACTTAATCCTAATCCCCACTATGTCGGTTTAAGTTATCACCATCTGTCGTCACCTCATTATGCTTTAATATCTTCTTTGTCCACTGTTTTTATCCCTAAGTCTATATATGAGGCACTATCTCATCCAGGATGTCGACAGGCTATGATTGACGAGATGTCTGCTTTACATGCGAGTGGCACTTGGGAGTTTGTTCCTCTTCCTGCAGGTAAGTCTACTGTTGGTTGTCGTGGGGTTTATACAGTCAAAGTCGGCCAGGATGGCCAGGTTGATCGGCTTAAGGCTCGTCTTGTTGCAAAAGGATATACTCATATTTTTGGGCTTGATTATAGTGATACTTTCTCTCCCCTGGCTAAAGTAGCATATGTTCGTCTTTTTTTGTCCATGGTTGTTGTATGTCATTGGCCTCTTTATCAGTTAGACATTAAGAATGCTTTTCTCCACGGTGATCTTGAGGAAGAAGTTTATATGGAGCAACCACCTGGTTTTGTTGCTCAGGGGGAGTTTAATGGTTGTGTGCGCAGATTGCGTAGGTCACTATATGGTTTAAAACAGTCCCCTCGAGCTTGGTTTGGTAAGTTCAGCACAATTATTCAGGAGTTCGGCATGACTCGTAGTGAGGCTGATCACTTTGTGTTTTATCGGCATTCTGCTCCTAATCTGTGTATTTATCTAGTGGTTTATGTTGATGATATTGTTATTACTGGTAATGATCAGGATGGTATTACTAATCTGAAGCAACATCTCTTTCAGCACTTCCAGACTAAGGATCTGGGCAGATTGAAGTATTTTCTAGGTATTGAGGTCGCTCAGTCTAGCTCAGGTATTGTTATTTCACAACGGAAGTATGCCTTAGACATTCTTGAGGAGACTGGAATGATGGGTTGCAGACCTATTGACTCTCCTATGGATCCGAATGCTAAGCTTTTGCCTGGACAGGGGGAACCACTTAGAGACCCTACGAGATATAGGAGGTTAGTTGGCAAATTGAATTACCTCACAGTGACTAGACCTGACATTTCTTTTCCGGTGAGTGTTGTAAGTCAGTTTATGGATTCTCCCCGTGATAGTCACTGGGATGCAGTTGTTCGCATTCTTCGGTATATAAAGTCAGCTCCATGCAAAGGTTTACTATTCGAGGATCAAGGCCATGAGCAGATTGTTGGGTACACAGATGTTGATTGGGCAGGATTACCTTTTGATAGACGTTCTATGTCTGGATATTGTGTTCTAGTCGGAGGTAATTTGATCTCGTGGAAGAGCAAGAAACAGAATATAGTTGCTCGATCTAGCACCGAAGCCGAATATCAGGCCATGGCTATGGCAACGTGTAAGTTAGTTTGGGTCAAGCAGTTGCTCAAGGAGTTAAAGTTCGGAGAAATCAGCAAGATGAAACTGGTGTGTGATAACCAAGCTGCTCTTCATATTGCGTCAAATCTGGTGTTCCATAAGAGGACTAAACACATTAAGATCGACTGTCACTTTGTCAGAGAAAAAATACTTTCAAGAGATATTATTACAAAGTTTGTAAAGTCGAATGATCAACTAGAAGATATTTTCACCAAGTCTCTTACTGGTTCTCGTATTAGTTACATGTGTAACAAGCTCAGTACATATGATGTGTATGCACCGGCTTGAGGGGGAGTGTTAGGGAGTAATATGTACTTTGTAGACTATAGCTATAAATAGGACCTTTTGTATTATATTGAGTATCTAATATCGATAATATATTTTCTCCCATGCTTTCTCACAGGTTAAATGCAATGCTAAGGGATTACAGCATATCTGTTCCAATTACATCCCCAAAGAATACAGAAGATCAAAATACTGTGACAAGTTTTCTATCATGATATTCCTACACCAAAAGCACTAAGCATCCAGTCTAACACAATTGCATTTTTTTTCAAATTTCAAAGCACATTCCATGTTTAGCTTGCAGCAGAAGCAGGAACGTATATAAAGCTTGATATCAACAAACACGCAGCTTATAGAAGGAGAGAAAAGGGGGTTTACCATTTGCAGAATATTTACTGGAGGGGTGCTCATAAGTACAGCTTCAAGTGCAATCTGTGCAACAGGACTTTGCCTTCCATCACAGCATTCATCAACAACTTCACATAACTGAAGTAAACTCTCAATGGAGATGTTGAAATGCGGTTGATAAACTTTCCTCTTTTGGGATATCTTCAATGCTGATGTAACTATTTGTAGAATCAGTTTAACAAGTTGAGTCTTTCCTTTAAACGTTTCAACACGTTCAACTAGCATCTTGTATAGATTGCAAGAGAGTTCCACAAGTTGCTCCAAGGCATATTTCTGCATCCACTCAATAGTATGTCTCAACAAAATGACTTCATTGAGTGCCTAAACAAGAAACGTGATAAGAGAATATAGTATAGCAGTGTACACAAAAAGCTATCAGGGACATAAAATAGTTCAAGATGCAAAATGGTAAACAGTGTTCAGCAACTCAGCAGTGACTTCAATTTGGAAAAGTACCACGAGATCTATTGCTTTGGAGGGGGTGAGTCAATCTCCGATTTATTGGTGGTGAAGGAGAGCAGCAATACTGAAAATGAATTGAGTGTATAATGTACACTGTCTGACTATGGTGGAAAATGATGTGGTACACTACTTAGAACCTAAATCTGACAAAACTTGGCAAATACCCCGGGACCTCGAGGTTGATGCATGCAAGTTTTTCTTGTTATGTTACCCCAGTTCAGATGATCTGTATGGAACCAACAAAAACTTAACCTCGGAAACCCAAATTTCTTGATTGCTATCGGTGGCTACAGTCAACACTTGATCCATAACTTATCATCATCCAATGGTTTAGAAGTCAATACCCATGTCTCTGACTCCATTTCAGCAGACTGGTACACGGAATAATGAATTTGTAAGAATTGGAGACTTCTCTAAATGAATATGTACATAAAATTACTAACTTGATTAATATATTTGTTTAAGAAAAAAGAAACTTTGATCCTTTCGACTGCCTAAAAGTCCATATTAGAAAATATATGCATATAGGTGCAAACTCAGATATCGATCTACTATATCCCAGCAACACTCTTCAACTGTGAATACATTGTCATGCATCCTAACGTATAGGTCATGATGAGTTTAATACAGAAACGTCCTGCTACTGACACACACTCAAGTCCATATAATAAGCCCTCTCCATCCTCGAGAAACAAGTAAATGTATTTTCTCTAACAGCATAAATAGTCGAGATAATTAAATAGAAGGGAAAGAAGAACTAGAGATTTTTATAGTACTTAATAAAAGGAACAAATACCTCTAGTATAACAGTCAACTCAACAAATGAATCACGTCTGCACGGACTCCAAGAGAGAGATGAAATGACACAGGATGACCATGAGATCAAGCCACATTGTTCAACTAAGTACCTGGCCATCTTGGGTATTCCAACAGACTTCTTCACTATCTGCAACATAAACCATCTGACTAATTCAGCTCTTGCTTAGGAGAGGCTCACCACTCTTCGGAAAGAGAAACATGATCAATTGGAAAAACATCTATTGGATGGAGAGGGTAAAAAACAAGTTCCTATCGACGAAATTAAAAATTATGTTCCACGTTAAACCAACAAACTAAAGACCCACATTCTTTTGACACTATAACTATGTGGAACAAGAACTTCATATACTTAAAGAGGAACAAACTTGCCAATACGTGCACTTATAGGATTTTTTAAGTTAATAATTTTATTGGTGTAAAATGTGAACACAATGTTAACAGTTCTAGTTACAAGATTGTATAAAAAGCAAGGGATAAAAGTATTTTCATTTTAGAAGTTTACTATCACTTCTTATCTACTGAATGCAAGGATAACCAAATAACCAGATGAATTTATTAAACATGTGACGACATGAAACACCAACATAGGTGATCTTCCTCTTCCTCAGATTTTTGCTGTCAAAATCACGCCCCTCGATGCCAGCCACACAAAGAAGCAAACCTTCCTATGCACCTTAGGGACACAAATAGAGCGACATGGAAATGTGACCTCCTCCCTCCTCAGTAATCTCTCATAATAAGACAGACTTGACAGTGAACCAGTCATCTCTACTCACTTGCCATCTCATCTCCATACATCAGGAATAGTCTGTGATGTATTCTGCCTGTACAAAAGTTCAACCAAGGTTTCAAATTCCCCCAACAGTCATTCTTGGAGGTCCCTCCTAAATCTCAAATCCCAGTGTACTTCCCCCTCATTAAACATGTGAATCTGTCGGACTGTCAGCTCTCTTTGGCACGAAACTCCATAAATGTTGGGGAAATCTTCCTTCAATATATTCTCACCACACCATTTATGCTCCCAAAAACAAACCCTGCTTCCATCCCCAATCCTAAAAGTAATATTTTCACTAAAATCTTTCCATCCCTTCATGATGCCCCTCGCAAACGGAGTTATTATTACTTTTTAGCTTCTAAACTGAAAATAACTAGGCAATTAGCTGCAATTAAAAAATAGATAGTAATCAGAACCTAGAAGCATAAAAATAAAAGGCAACCAGAAAGTTCAGCAAAGCAAGCAAGTAAACTAGTATTGCAGAAAAGAGGAATAATTCTTATTAACAGATGCTATATGTGTGAAGAAGATCTTGAAACTGTCAACCATCTATTTATTCATTGTAGAGTGGCAAGACAATGTTGGGAATTCTTTCTAAATTTGCAGTGTCAGATGGGCAATGCCTCCTAATGTTAAGAGCTTAATGGAAACTTGGCAACTTCAGAAGATGGCAAAGGATAAGTTGTCTGTGTGGAGAACAATTCCTTTATGTGTGCTATGGACAATATGGCTAGAAAGGAATAAGGCCTGTTTTGAAGAGAGAAGACAGAGCATCTCCAGGATTAAAAATAGATGTTTACGAAGTTTGTATTTTTGGTGTAAAAGAAGTGTTATGGAAAATCTGGAACGATATTTAAATTTTTTAGAGGAGTTAGGTGATATGGATTTAGGTGATTTGGAATTAGTTGATATGTAGAAATTCTATTTGTAACCCAGCTGGATTGTTTGCTTTTCTTGGTACCTTTAATAAAATCTTACCTTACCAGAAAAGCTCAGCAAAGTAAGCAAGAGACAAAAAATAAAGGAAGACAAGAACACATTGCCAACCAGAAGAAAACACATGGCATATTACCTGAATAATCAACTTCTTCAGTTGTAACTAAATAATCACTAACACACCAACATCAAAAAGCAACAACAAAAACATGGAAACTTAAGCAAGACAAATAGACTCCTAAAGAAGGAAGAGAAAAAAAACAAACAACCAACAACAACAATAAAAGATGGGGCTTCAATTACCTGAACAATCAACTCCTTTGATTCATGACTAGAAATAGGAGAAACATAAAAGCTCAAAAGGGTCTCAAAAATGGCATTTCTAATATATATTTGAGTATCATCATTCGCATTCAATCCTGAGTACAACAGACGTAGGATCCACAGCCTCTCTGCTATGAAATTAGTCGAGCTACTCCAGAAAAAATTATGGAACAACGGTATACCCTGTTAAAAGATCAGAGGGAAGGAGAGAAAGGAAAAGTGCTGTTAGACAAATTAGTCAGATGATGATCAGATATGACTGGATAGTTGATCTTTATGACAAATGGCACTTATAAATTTCCGATACTGAAGATATACCTTCATATTTGCACTTGGAGAACGCATCAGATATGCACTTATTGCTGAATAATGGTCATGTGAAGGATCCAAAAGTACAAAAGAAGCCTCTGCAACAAATACGGCAGTTATGGATGAAATCTTTTGCCAAGGCTCTTCAATACCGTTTTGCAAGTATGACATTAAGAGACGAAGACGCATCACATCCTTCCTCTTCTGACATTTCTGCAGCCAACAGTCAAAACATATAAAATCAGGACATGTTACTTCTATTGAAGAGTCATGCAGCTCTGGAGAGATATCAACACCTTTTCCTGGCATATAACCAGCCAAGATGACTGGTTATTATGATTTGCAATTGATAGTTACAGATTACTGTATCTCTCTTATATATAGATAGGTATCTTTTATCAGACAACATTGGATGATACTATTTCGTTACAAATCTCCGTCTGTGTATATACTTGCAGGCATGGCCACAATATCTCGCCTACCAAACTTTTAATTCACAATACTGGCCTCTTTTTATAGCCTTTGTTTGAGAAGCACCAGAGATATGCATAGGCTAGTAATTGTTTAAGTCTATGGTTCCCAATACCTCTTCAGAGAGAATCATGTTTGTATGTAATTTTTTTTTTTTTTGTGCAAGAGTTTATATGTAAGATTCTTTTAATTATACATCGAGTATGAAGGTTTTTCATCACATCAATAATTCATCAACTTCGTCAAAAAATAAAGAGAGCACTACTGACTACAAATATAGAATCTGAACTGCTAGAAAAGCACTTGAACTAATTGGATAAAAGATACTCTCAAGACACCTGAATGGAGACTACTTTAAATAAATAGAGACAGAGAAGTATTGAATACGTACAACCAGTGTTGTCAAAGACGCGCTTAAGCCCTGAAGCGAGACTCAAAACATATTGAGCGCTTCAGTGTCGCATCAAGGTTCTAAGGCATACTTTTCCTTGCCAATGAGTGTGATCCTGAAAAGGCGACACTAAGCAATTGATTTTTCAATTTCTTTGTCCATATATTTGTTATTTATGCTTATAATTATTGGTCTTGGATTACATAAACATATTTTTACTTTTTCTCCAGTTGAGCCTTTTTTCCTTAAAGCCCACGCTTTATTTCCGCTTTGCGCTTAAAGCCCCAATAGACCTTAGAGCTTTTTTGCGCTTTTCGCCTTTGATAACACTGCGTACAACTATAAATTTAGAGGCCTATGAGGCACTCTTCCACCTACTCCTTGGCCAATCTTACCATTTCTTAATTTCTCCTTCTATCCCAAATGGATGTCATTTTCGCTTCCCAAGTAAAGGAAAGAATGTTTTACTAAAATAATTTAATATACCCTTTGGTCTATTGCAACTTATAGTACTTTTGTTACTTTCTAGATACAAAAATTCTATTCAATGAATGAATTATTTGTATTTAATTCAGCTATAAAAATAGGTCAAACTGACCCTGACAAAGGAAAAGTGATAAACAAAGAGGGGTATAAATTTAAGTTGCCGAAGTTGGTAGCAAGTGGGTTAGATCTTAGTGTAGACATAATGGAGTTCTCAAGAGATTCAGATTCACCAAAAAGAAAGGTAGCTAAGTTAATCAATTTTACATGCTTCATTTCTAAATGTGGATAAAAGAGATAGGAGTCCATGATAAACAAGCATTTTCAACATCTATACTGAAACCTATGCATTGTTAATGCCATTAGCCACACAAACTAAAGAATTATTGTGACAATTTGACTTTGAAATCTGAAATCATACTTCAACTTGCAATAATTCTCATAACAAAGTCTGAAGTTTGTAACCATCCATCGGGGTTGAATTCAATAAAAAAAATTCCTCCCACCTCAAAGCACTTTACAGATAAATATAGCTCCATCTTTCAATAAGAAAACTTACCATCACTATCCACAAAATATTAAGAGCACTAACAACAGAAAATGATGACAACAATAGGCAACTCCAGTGCATGCCCATGAATGCCAGTTAAGATACTTGAGGGTAATTTTACTAATTTTTGAAGCAGCTGCCGGGTTAAGGATTAATCTGGGAAAGAGTTCGATTTCCCTCTCAACATGGTTCAAAATGTGCAATGGCTAGCGCCTAGCAGAGAATTTGGGGTGCCGAGATGGAAGGCTACCCACCACTTACCTCAGTATGCCTTTGGGGACAGTTTAAAGCCACCAATATTTGACAAAGCACCATTGAAAGGTTTGAGTTTGAGAAAACACTAGCAGGTTGGAAAAGACTGTATCTTTCTTTGGGAGGGAGAGTCACATTAATCAATAGCGTCCTGGATTCACTGCCCACCTACTTAATGTTGCCATTTCCTATTCCAAGGAAGGTTGAGCTATCCATGGATAGATTGAGAAGAAATTTTCTATGGGAAGGCAACAAAATAGAAGATCTGTTCATCTTATTAAATGGGACAGAGTGACCTTGGATAAGAGAAATGGAGGTGTTGAAGGAGGATTGGGCATCAGGATCTTAAAGAACCATAATAACAGTTTGCTAATGAAGTGGTTATGGAGGTTCGGCAGAGAAGAGAAGGGGCTGTGGAAAGAGGTGATAGCTTGCAGATATGGGGAGAACATGAACTGGAGAACTAATTCTGTGAGTTCCCCACATGGCGATGGGGTATGGAGGCATATACGCAGCCTCTTGCCACTCTTTGAAACAAACATTGTGCTTAAAGCGGGGGATGGAAGAAGCAAAAAATTCTGGCATGATTCTTGGCTGGGCCATACTCCCCTCAAAATTGAATTCCCAGATTTAGATAATTTGGTGATGGATACAGAAGCCACAATCGGCCAGAGCCGAAGTGAAAATGCTTGGAACCTTCATTTTAGAAGGCCATATTTTGACGGGGAGGTGAACAGGCTTGCGCAGCTAATACAAAGGCTAGAACAATTCCAGATAAATTCAGAGACTACTGATTCACTTAGGTGGAGAAGACAAGGCAATGGGACGTTATCTGTAGGGTCATGCTATAAATGGTTAAGTAATGTGTGTGGTAGTCCTACTCAATAGCCATGGACGATGATATAGAAGACAAGTGCACCATACAAAGTAGCATGTTTTACGCGGGTTGCTGCATACGAANCCTACTGATTTGCTGGAGATGCTGCTGTCCTAGTAAGACAAATAGAAAATAGTAGATTACTATTCCTGCGTGTGTTTGTTGGTTGCTTTGGAAAGAGAGGATTGAAAGGTGTTTTGATGGAAAGAACAGCTCAATTCAGATCATGAAGCATAGGTGTTTAAGGCTACTGGCACTTTCATGTAATCTACATTCTACAGGATATATGATGAAATAGGAATGACTGACTTTATTAGCTCATTACAGGAGTAATTTTGTACAGGGAGACGCTCCTTTTTCTTTTTTGTACAGGAGATCCTCTCAACTTGTATAGTTCAGCGCTAGAGCTTAGTGCCTGACTACTTTTTGCTATCAATAAAAAAGTATTTAGTGATAAAAAAGAAGGTACCTCCAGTGTACTCTTGAACCTTCCAAGAACCTCGTAACCTAATTTCCTCATGTCATCATCAGGTGAAGATATACTGACAGCACTAATCGCAAGCAAGCCTAAGCTAGCAAACTCCAAGGGCTCAATAAAACCCATAGAAAGACAATGAACTGAGAAGCGCAAGATAAAAATGGGATCATACACGCAGATTTTCTCAACATCTGTGTAATGCACCTGCAGATATTTCCGAAGTTTAGAATTAGACAGATCTGGGAGAAACTACAGAAAATATCCATTATTCCTTGCTCTCTGAAAATTGAAAGAAAAATCAAAGATTATGAAAAAAGAAACTATCTATAATAGGAGTACCGCATATCTAAAATCAGGATTATCCGTTTCAGGTTTTCTGAGAATCCCCGCACCAACAGTTCTATCATATGGGAAATAAAGCACAGTAGTTGCACAAAATTTGGGGTCAATGGGAATGTTTTCTCTGAAGTGGATTCTGCGGTAGTCATCAACTGCTTCAGCTTCGCTCAAATTACGAGAGAGAGTCTGCACCAGTTCATTTTCTTTTCTGACTTTCAGCAGAGCACTACTCCATAGGAAATCCAATTTAGCCATACTTTCTTCATCCAAGTCATTAGCCGACTTGATTTCATCCAGTAAGCTGTATATCTCCAAGTCAATCGCACTCATACTTGCACCATAAGAAGATAATAGTAAAAAGACCAATTCCCTCAAATTTATTCCAATGTCTTTTACATTATCAATATCACATTGCTGAGCCCTGATCTGGAAAAGCAACTTAAGCAACTTAACAAGTTCCAACTGCCGGGCACGTTCTTCAGATAGTTTAAAATTATCTTTTAGATCAAGGGCATCTTGATCAATACATGGAACATACGATCTCATGATGCTCGGCAAAGGAGTAAATATCAGCCCAAAGTGAGAATGACCAGCTGAGATGGGAGAAGAATGGATTGTAGCTGCAAATTGCGAATGTGCAAGCAACAGTTGAATAATTGAAATGCAAGAGAACTTCCCCTCAGATACCGATGAGATAATAGCTCGGAGCATCCGCAGTGTCATAGGATCGTAAAACCTATGCAAAAGAGATGACTTAGCAAGTTGCTCTATAAATGGAAGAGAAGCCAAATTCAGAAGACAATCATGCATCTCCATTGTTATTTCCATTAAATTTCTCAGAATATATACTTCCAGATATCTAAACAAGGAACAGCTTCCAACTTCAATTTGCGAGAAGTCAACAACGTTCAAAGAACATCTCTTGACAATAAGCTGCCACGATTGAACCAACAGGTTCAGAAGCCGGATTCTTGCCAAGTCTAAAATGGAGCAATCTTCTGAAGGAATCAATTCTGTGTCTCTCTTCAGCACAGATGGAAACTTCCTCTTCTCGGAGAATAAAAGTGCCCTACACAAACGTATTTTTGTAACAGTCCTGTTGACAACATTCAAAGACTCCTCAACTGAATAAGCACCATCTTGAGTGAGATCGAACTCCAGCAGATCACTATATTCACTTGAGCAAACAGAATTGAATATACTCATGCGCTTTTTCACGTTCACCAAATCACCTCTCAATTCAAAGAAAAGTTGAGCTACAAGAACAGTATTTGTAAGAAGACTACCTGAGACAAGATTCAGAGAATCTTCCATTGATAGGTTTTCACAGCATTCTACCTGAAATATCTCCCTGGAAACATAGCTCTTCCAGATAGAGAAACCTTGCTTGAGTATTCCCCAATAAAAAGAAACTATATTCTCATGAAGCATGCAAAGTTGGCCCCCAAACTTAGAAGGAATTGAATTCAAGTACAGGATGACAGTGGGAAGAAGCATCAACATGTCCTCATCAGAATAACCACAAATTTGCTGTACTGCACAAGACTTGACTGCCACGTATTTATTCATCATGTCTGAAAATAACTTTCCAAATACTGATAGATGCAGGGGGCTTATATCAGCAACAAGAAACAAGATTTCAGCTTTTCTTTTGGTTATTTTGAGCATGCAATGAGAAAGGATATTGACATGAGTGTTAGCCACAGCTCTACATGTAATCTTAAGAAAAGGATGGCTTGGCTTCTGGATAGCTTTATGTGTTTTCACAACTTTTACAGCTTTGAGCAGACAGATATCAGCAACATCAAGTTCAAAACGAGTGGCAATTTCGTATACTTGCGAAAAGATTTTCTCATAGAGGATGACATCAAATTGTTCCTGTTGAATTCCCCAAAACAAACAAAAAGGCATTTTTTCATGTGGCTGCTGCATGTTTGCTGCCAGATGACTAAATGCAGAACCAGCAATGTGTAATCCAACACAGAGCACTGAAGTCAGCCAAACAGAACGATCCTCATGGTCAATTGCAGACAGCATCCAATGGACCAGTTCAAGCATCTCAAAGGGAGATATGAAATGAATCAAATTGTGTAGAGCACATAATGTAGGAACTAAAGGTATTACGTTCTTCGACTTCATGCATTCATTCATCTTCTGCTTAAATGTCATAACCAGTTTATTTACCACATTCTTGAATGAACTTATGACATGTTTATTAGCATGATAAACTTCAGATGAGGAGCCTTGGCTATGGCAGAAAGACAACCAGAGCTCAGAAGTTGCTTTTAACAAATTATGCACATGATGATCCATCTTGCTGACTTCCAGTTTAGCTGATTCAACAAACTGGTCAACACTGTCCTTAATTATTCCACATGCAAAATCACTTTTAACAGGGGATGGGCACTCCAGCACTGCTGCCACAGCAGGGTGATCTAGGATAGTTACAACCAACTCTTTAACAAAGTGAATTGTGAAAGGAGTAAAGGTGTCTAAACCGCAAGAATTAAATTTTTCAACCACCAACTCTTTCAACATGCGGCTCAGGAGAAGGAAGCAAGCTTCAGAAAGCTTTTCAAACCCCTCGAAATGCTCATTTCTATATGATAATTGAGCTTGATTCAACCAAAAGAGTAAATAGCGGAAAATGGAAAGAAGATGATAAGATGTCTCCTCAGAAAGCTTTGCCATAAACAAGTTTTGCAATCCTGATTGATTAGACAAATCCAATCCATCAATATCCAGAATTGCTGGGAAGAGAATATAAAAAGGTGCACGGTCCAAAAATACAGAAAATGCATTAGACTTGTTATCCATTGAACTGATGACACTGCAGTCCATTGTTCTCCCACCACTTAATCCAGTTACGGCCCTATCCAGACCCGTGAAGAAGATTTCTCGCCATCTCTTAGAAGCATCATTAAGAAGACTAGGTTCTGAGAAAAATAGTTGCATCAACAATGAGAGAGGGACCCCAAGCAATTTATTTGAGACAGACATGATTAAAGGGAAATTCTGTATTATCTCAGCTGGTCTTGTGCATGCCAATGAAAAGCAAAACCCAATGGTTACTCCAAGCAGACTACCATCAAACTCACTCTTCAGCAATCTTTGGACTTCACCAACTGTACGGGTAAAAGAACTGTCAGTATACACAACTTCGTTGCAGTTGGAAGATATTCTGTAAGTTTTCTGCAAAATTCTCCGAGCCAAATGTAGTAAACTGTTGAATGGCCTCCACTCACAGAGACATTGAGAATCATCCAAGTCATAAGCAGCTTCAAGTCTCTCAGAGAGCTTCAAATCAATTATTGAAGATAAAAGTAATGGATCCACCTAACAAAGTTCAGGAAAGATAGACACTGTCAAGAGGGGAAAGCACCTAAAGTACGATCAATTCAAATTGAAAAAAAAAATTACATAAATGTAAGGACAGATATTACCTGAGTCTCCAGGAGATACTTTAGGGTATTGCACATGTATAATGAAACCATTGACTTCTCAGATACAGAAAAAGCACCAGATTCAGCAGTTATCAATGTTAGGCACTTATCCAAGATGCAAATAGTGAAAGCGCTGAAATCAGGAGATGTATCTGCAAGAAGTGTCACATAACTGTCAGAATACCGCAAGTAGTCTTTTCAGCATACTGTTAAGTTCTTCCTTTCGAGTTTGCGGAACTTTGGCAGGTTTAAAAAGATTTTGCAAGCCATTCGGTTAACTATTTCATTTATAAGAAATAAGATAGACCAATTAAATGTCGGCGGAAAAGTTAAAGTTCCAATTGAAGCACGATCATGATGCACTATGAATCCAATAGAAACTGAAATAGTAGATCAAGAATGAGTAAAGTGATGAGTGCTTTATCCAGTGAACAAGTAGAATAATGGTCACAGCCCCCACCCCACCCCCCACAAAAAATCATAGAACAAAAGAAACAAAAATAATACGACATATCCAATATTTGTCAAGTCACATGGAAAATATATCACTACAAAAAAGAAAAGGTAAAAGTTAAAATCCATCTTTTTTGAGGAAAAGAAAAAGAAGACCAAGAACATTGTATGAAATTTCAAGTACCTTTAGCGCCTGGTATGCTACTCAAAGAAGACCTTAAGAGATTCAAATAATAGAATAACTTATTGCCAGATTCAATTACAGCATCACGTAGGAAAAGAAGAACAGGTGAGGACAATTTTTTGTAGATATCACACCCTACTGCTCCTCCAAGCATGTAGTCTTTTCTATACCCAGGAATAAAGAAGAACCATGAACAAATTTCCTTTGGGTTCTGGTCAAATGCACCAGTACTATACATCGATGCCTTCGCTAGACTGTATGCTTGATCTTTAATGTCTCTGTTTTGTGAATACATTGACAACTCCAGAAAAGGAAGCAAATGCTTGTACATTTGTGGGTGAACTCTTGAGGCAATTTCGCATTTAGAGGACCAACCAACATGTTCTTGGAGCAGAGATAACAGAGCTTGTTGCAACATAGTTGGTAATGCTAGCGGGTTGTTCGGCAGAATTTTGAAAAAATCAAATAATCCTTCCAACATAGTAGGCATTGTTTTCTGCAAGAAAGAAAAATAACATCCAAAATGTAAGCAATACATATCAGGATTTCTCCATTTATTTTTCCCTATTCGAATTAGGAACTATTAAGTTCGCGTGAACAGATTTACATTCGTAAATCAGAATACTAGATATATATCATATTAAATAGCAGAGGATTTCCAGTTTCAGAGCACATACAAGAAGAATAAAAGAAAAATCCAGGAAAAAGTTTCATCCAAATATACGCTCGAAAACATGGGCATCTGAAGTTCTACCTACGAACATAAGGTAAAGCTAAAAGTTTATAAGACTGACAATGTTAAATTCAAACAACATGCTACAAGTCACTGATTGATCCACCAAGAAAATGGAATATTTTAAATGAGTATCAATACATAGAGGAACAACTGGAGTGGCTTACGTGGGCACTAACTTAACACAAATGCAGCAATAGTTAATACAGAGTCAAACCGACGGGATACTGCAGATAACATGTTTTTAGATGCAATATATTTATCAATTATTACATGCAAACGTTTTTAACTTCCCTAAATGCAAACAAATGCTTCCTCTATAATTTCACAAACACTTTGTTTCACAAAAATCCAGCACAACTAGGATTCAAGCGTTTGAAACTCACATAATATACCGTTAAAGCATTAAGCAACTTGGAATAGAATAGCACTTCTGCCTCTTTTACAGTAGAGTCTGGCAAAGCAGAAGAATGCAAACCCCAGAGTTCTGTTATAAGCTTCAAAAAATAAGCTTCATCTTTAGAATTATCCATGTCATCTTCATTTATGATTCCTTCACCGTCAAGGGGCAGAGCAGCATCAGGGGAGTAACTAACCCCACCAACAAGAATGTCTGTATCTTCATTTGCAACATCAATTTTCAGCTTCTTCCTACTGTTCATCTTATCTCCTATTTCAGAATCTGCGGGTCTTTTTGAGCATTGCTCAAGACCTCTGTAAAATTCATTCAGTGAAGAGAGTAATGAGAACAGAACTTGAGGATCGGGGAGAAGAATCCGAACTGCATTCCAGATATCTTGCTTGAGGGATTCCCATTTGTGGATCATCTGACCTTGGGAAGACGATACACTGTTTAATGCACCAATTAGTAACTCCAACAATTTCAGAACCTCCAACACGAGCTTCAAAGTTCCATGTTTTGCTAGAGGATCAGAATGAAGTAACCCTTTATTAATCACCAGCCGAGAGAAGGATCGTGGTCCAATGCACTTCATGATATTTTGCACCTCTGGGCTGTTAAGAGTTGGTGGCTCCTGGGTTTGAGATCCAATAAATCCAAAGACAAGTCCGTCACCAACAGAGGAGAGCACATTTGCTGCCAAAGAAACTGAAGCAAACCTGCAAGTAATTGAGTCACAATGGACAGACAACAATATTGATATTCAAAAATAAACTCTAATAAGCAATATTTTCTAACCAGTTACGAGACGAAGGGTCTTCAAGATTGTAAGGGAACTCATCCAAATAAGCTGAACCAAAAGACGACTTCCCCTTAACAATTGCCAAAAGCAGGTTTCTGTGGTTCTCAACTTCTGCAGCTTTTAACTTCTTCATAAGGCCCAATAGCCTTTTCGGGTTTCCTCTCAATGGACTAGGTACCCTCTTCAAATCTGGCATCAATCCATTAGAAGGATCAGTACACACCATATATAACAGTTCATGAGCTAACTCTGCAGCCAATCCGCCACCCTCTCGTCCCGAAATGCTGGCGAGCTGCTCCAAAGTTACACTCCCGAAAAGCACACTTCTAAGCCCGGTGGGCACCAGTGAATCAGGAACAAGAACCCTATCGCACAAAGTGGACAAAACATAAACCACAGTATCCTCATCATCATTACCCAACCCGCGAAGCACACCAGAATACATATCCTTCTGCTGCAACACACCTCTCAACAACCTGGCATTCCCTACCTCCAAAAAAGATATAGCAAAACCAACAAAAGCCTTCCTCGTCGAATGGTGCTTCTTCTTTTCCGCTTCAATTTTCTTAACTTTCCACTCAGCTAGTTTCCCAAATACAGGGATTTTAAAGTCAAAACACTTGGCCACTTCCCACGCCATCCATGAACTACGCCTAACTATAGAAGCCAACAGAAAAAGGGCAGCGCGTTGGCGCTTTGCCTCTTTACTGTTCAATTCCTTATACAAATCATTCATTCTCTTTTCCACTATCGATTTCGCAAACTTATCCAACGCATTGACAACTAAAGCAACTTTCGGGTCTTTTTCAGCTCTGTTTTTCCCGTAAGAATGATTGAGAATTCCAGAAATTAAATTGAAAACATAGTAAAGTCCAGTTTTGCCTTTTCGGAGCTCCCAAGCTTGTTCGAGTTCGATACACTTAGATGAATTCTGAATGTACAGGTTGAGAAATTCGGGTCCAGAATCGGATTTGAGAAGCTTGAGGAACTCCTTTGAAGCATCGGAACATAGCTGTAAGTCTGTAGAGGTTAAGTTGCGAAGAAGGTGTTTGAGTTTAGCCTCCTGAGAGAGTTTATTTTCGAACAGAGACAGAGGCATTGTTGTTCCTGCTCCCTTATTTTCTTCGTCTTCCATTGTTGCAGCAATTCAAAGAGAAACTAGAGCGGAAGCTTAAGACTAAACCCTAAACCCTACAGCTTTACAGCTTGTTTAGCGCGGAAGCTTAGTGTCGGAAAAGAAAAACAAAAAGAAAAACAACGTACGGTGTATCATATTTTATGATATTATATTATACTGTATTAGTATTTTGTTTGAATAGATTATTTCATTTGCTTTTATTTTGTAATATGATGCACCAGTAATATAAAAAATAAGATACAAGATAAAATTATAAGATAAAAATGGATAAAATATAATACTAAGCTGGAAGGGCAAGATAAGAGAAAAATATAAGATAACAATACAATCACGACAAATCAATCGTTACATAAAATGATAATATTTTTTATTACATTACGACGGATTTAACAATACGATCAATAAAATTTAACTAACAATCAAAATAAATATTATACTCAAAATAACAATACGATACAATTCAATATGCAACAAACATCCAAACAAGCTTTCAAATCTTGTACGCGAAAAAGAGAAATTTTTTCTGATAAATCGCCTTCTGTGCCCTCGCCCTATTTTCATTTGGGTCTTTCGTTAATATTTATAACTTGTGTGCTCTTCTGCTTCTCAATCTATAAGTTCTTTTTCATAATGCTTAATTAGATTTGCAGTAAGAATCCTAAAAATTAAATTTTGTTTTCATTTATATTAAACATAATGATTTGATAATTATTACAGTAACAAGTTCATCTTCCCCGGTCTTGAAAATTAAAGTTGAATACACAATTAGTGATAAAGGATTATTTTTTATATGTGTATGATCTGGTATCTGAAATCTATAAAAAGAAAATGTAGTAGGTTGAAGCGGAAAATAAATTAAAACTATAGGTTTTTTTGCAAAGGATGAAATAAAAGAGTAATGATTAACCATAGCCTACTAACAGGGTCTGAAATTTTTTTAAGTAAACTATGGGTGTGTTTGGGACGAGTAAAATATTTTCCTAGAAAATGGTTTTATAGAAAATGAGTGTTTTATCACTTATTTTTTCTTGTTTGGTTGGTGAGTCAAAAACTTTTCCGAAAAATATTTTTTAGTGTTTGATTAAATAGAAAAATATTTCAAGTCCCCATGTTTCATTGTCCCCCTCTTCCTCC